AAGCTTGGGCTCCTTCCTCTCTGACTATAAGCCATGTCTGCTCTGCATCCAAGGCCCGTGGCCATCATTAGCCAAAGAGGGACAAACAATGGGTCTCTAGTCAGCCCAGCTAAAAATTGCACCTGACCTCCCTCTCTGTTCAGGGATCCCAAGCAGCTCAGACCTTCCAGAACGTGCAAGGAGGAATGACCACCGAGGCATGACAAGGCAGTGCTGTGGAAGCTTGTTTTTCCGGTTGTATTTCCTTTGATCATGGTTAGAACGTTGGAAATGTAGCCCTGGCCGAGGTCTGAGACATCCTAGTTAGTTTTCTTTGCTTTCTTGAAAAGTTCTGTCGATCTTCTCAACACCCAACAGGTGGCAAATCTCACCTTGGTCCAGGCTTCAGTTGGGCTTAAGAGGGCTGTGGACACAGGAGGAGATTTGGGGGATCATCCACCACATTATTCGCTGGGGTGGCATTTGGTAAAATTGTGAAGAAACAACTGGACTTGAAGGCTGAAGACTTGTCTTCTTGGCTTCTTGCTAGCTGTGGTGAAGTCACTCAACGTCTCTCAACTACAAATGACAATTCTTTATAATGAAATATATAATGTAATTCTTACATTACATATAATGAAATAGTATGAAATTGCTCTTTAAATTGTATAGAACAGTACAAAAGAAAGGTTTCCATTCCCATAGATCTGTATTGGACATGTAAATTAAATAGTGGGCCATATTTAATTCCAATATTAATAAAATATTCTCCATTTATGAATTCCACTATTGCTCTAAAATGAAGCAATTTGTTCTCGTCCTGCATGTCTATGAAATGTGTTTTTGTAGATTATATGTATTACAAGTGATGAGTAATTTCATTATCTGATTTTAAACTAACATCATGATACTAGTTCCAATCAGCCTGTAAGCATGAAAATTACTCTCCTAAACAAATTATTGTTGCTAGTACCACTTATGTATCCATCAAGAGTAAAATTGGAAATCTCAAGTGCACAAGGTCATTTAGGAAATCCAAAGAATCATATATGATAATATTCAGCTGTATCTTCTCTTAACATAGGAGAAACAGGACTTGGTTTTATAAAAGCTAAGATTTGATACTTTGCTTTTACAATGTATGACAATAAAACATTTGGAATTGACCTTGTGGGTATTTTTTTACAATACCTTTTTTTTTACATATATATACTTCCTGACAGGCAGAGATGGTGAAATGGTGGCCTATGAAGGGAAGGGAAGTTCCTACAAAACCCGAGGGGTGGCCTCAGTTGCCCTCTGCATACTCAAATGCAACCAGCTATTCCAGGTATTATTTTTGCTTTCAGAAAAAGAAAACTAAGCAGAAGATCCTGGCAAGTTATGACTGGGGGCATGATGGCAAATATTGTAAGAGTTCTTCTGTTTGTGCAGATCAAAGTAATAGGTCATTGCCTTTTTCAGTAAGAGAGGTATTCAGCACTTAAAATAACTATATGAGCATTTAAAATAATTGTGCAATAGTAGGTTAATGGTTTGAATTGCCTGACTTGAATAATTATAGTAGTTTTTCATATATTCTTAGCCATTATCTTTCAGAGCATGGTTGTCTACAAAAAATATTCATCCTCTCTTTCAACCTCTCCCTCTACACACACACACACACATATATATGTTAGGAATCTAGTCTTAGTAGTAAAATATTTATAGTCTGATCTCATAGACTATGAGTATATTACTCATGCTAATATTCAATTTTATAGTATACTATAAAAAAGGGACTTTCTCAAACACTGAATTTCCATTAAGTTGGAATATCATTTAAGATACCAGAATAAACCCTAATCTAATAAGCAGATGAATATACTCCTAAATCTTGGAATCATTCAATAAAGTTTTGATTGCATGCCTATGTTTGTCCTGGTAGGTCCTAAACACTGGGACAAGCTGTACCCCATTGCAGATGGAAATAACCAATCTCCTATCGACATTAAAACCAGTAATACCAAACATGATACCTCTCTTAAACTTATCAGTGTCACCCACAACCCAGCCACAGCCAAAGAGATTATCAACATGGGACATTCCTTCTACATATTTTCTGGCCTTAAGAAATGAACTGTTGGTTTATAACTATTTATTTAGAACAACAAACTGTATGGATTGAAAACTCATTGGTATGCAAAAGTAGTCCAAAGATTACAATCCTGAAAAAGTATATGGGGTGAACACTATAGGTCAAAGTGAAGTGAGTACAAAATGAGTCATCTTGGATTTAGTATAGATATTAAGCTCAAAGAGGCAAAGTTTGTAAACAGAAAAAGAAGGAAAAAGTAAATGGGTGGGGTGTTAGGACACAACCAAAGGTGCTGATAAATTTTACATCCTCTCTCTGTATAGTTTTCTGCTTATGGAAGTATACAAGCACACCCAATGTATATAATGGAATAAAGGGTCATAATAGTTAGGGTTCAAAGTAATTTTGTGTCTAGAAACATAAAATGAACTACCTTCCCACAGGAATGATAAAACATCATGTTTTCATGTAATGAAAGGGGGTTGTTTTTTTATTTTTCAAATATGTTAGTTAATACAGTAGCTTGATTCAAAGTTACTTTTTAAGAAAGTATCATATTTTAGGAGACAAATTATCTGGCAAAAAGTATCTGCTACTCTCACTCCGTGAGCTTCTGGCCAACCTGAGACTATTAAGTCTGGAATGGAGTAGGCCTGGGGATCCAGCCTGACTACTGGTCATTTTGAGACAGACCAGATCAAACTAATTCAATCCTCCAGAAAATGGAATCAATGGAGGTCAGTGGGCATTTGTTGATAAGTGTCTAAGCCTTGGAGTGAGACCTAGGTTTAAAACCTAGGCTTATGGAATGTAACCATGCTTTGTAACCCTGAGGAAGTGTCTTCACCTTGTGAAGCCTCAATTTCTTAGGCAGAACACAGATCTTAATGTCTAATTTGGTTATTGTGAGAATTAATGCATATAGATTTTAGCATAGCATTTGAGACATACTGGGCCCTTAATAAATGGTACCTTAAAAATGTTCCCTGTTAAGTAAATAGTTCCTTCTGCCTACTAAAGTGTGGAATCAAAGCTTGGGCTCCTTCCTCTCTGACTATAAGCCATGTCTGCTCTGCATCCAAGGCCCGTGGCCATCATTAGCCAAAGAGGGACAAACAATGGGTCTCTAGTCAGCCCAGCTAAAAATTGCACCTGACCTCCCTCTCTGTTCAGGGATCCCAAGCAGCTCAGACCTTCCAGAACGTGCAAGGAGGAATGACCACCGAGGCATGACAAGGCAGTGCTGTGGAAGCTTGTTTTTCCGGTTGTATTTCCTTTGATCATGGTTAGAACGTTGGAAATGTAGCCCTGGCCGAGGTCTGAGACATCCTAGTTAGTTTTCTTTGCTTTCTTGAAAAGTTCTGTCGATCTTCTCAACACCCAACAGGTGGCAAATCTCACCTTGGTCCAGGCTTCAGTTGGGCTTAAGAGGGCTGTGGACACAGGAGGAGATTTGGGGGATCATCCACCACATTATTCGCTGGGGTGGCATTTGGTAAAATTGTGAAGAAACAACTGGACTTGAAGGCTGAAGACTTGTCTTCTTGGCTTCTTGCTAGCTGTGGTGAAGTCACTCAACGTCTCTCAACTACAAATGACAATTCTTTATAATGAAATATATAATGTAATTCTTACATTACATATAATGAAATAGTATGAAATTGCTCTTTAAATTGTATAGAACAGTACAAAAGAAAGGTTTCCATTCCCATAGATCTGTATTGGACATGTAAATTAAATAGTGGGCCATATTTAATTCCAATATTAATAAAATATTCTCCATTTATGAATTCCACTATTGCTCTAAAATGAAGCAATTTGTTCTCGTCCTGCATGTCTATGAAATGTGTTTTTGTAGATTATATGTATTACAAGTGATGAGTAATTTCATTATCTGATTTTAAACTAACATCATGATACTAGTTCCAATCAGCCTGTAAGCATGAAAATTACTCTCCTAAACAAATTATTGTTGCTAGTACCACTTATGTATCCATCAAGAGTAAAATTGGAAATCTCAAGTGCACAAGGTCATTTAGGAAATCCAAAGAATCATATATGATAATATTCAGCTGTATCTTCTCTTAACATAGGAGAAACAGGACTTGGTTTTATAAAAGCTAAGATTTGATACTTTGCTTTTACAATGTATGACAATAAAACATTTGGAATTGACCTTGTGGGTATTTTTTTACAATACCTTTTTTTTTACATATATATACTTCCTGACAGGCAGAGATGGTGAAATGGTGGCCTATGAAGGGAAGGGAAGTTCCTACAAAACCCGAGGGGTGGCCTCAGTTGCCCTCTGCATACTCAACTGCAACCAGCTATTCCAGGTATTATTTTTGCTTTCAGAAAAAGAAAACTAAGCAGAAGATCCTGGCAAGTTATGACTGGGGGCATGATGGCAAATATTGTAAGAGTTCTTCTGTTTGTGCAGATCAAAGTAATAGGTCATTGCCTTTTTCAGTAAGAGAGGTATTCAGCACTTAAAATAACTATATGAGCATTTAAAATAATTGTGCAATAGTAGGTTAATGGTTTGAATTGCCTGACTTGAATAATTATAGTAGTTTTTCATATATTCTTAGCCATTATCTTTCAGAGCATGGTTGTCTACAAAAAATATTCATCCTCTCTTTCAACCTCTCCCTCTACACACACACACACACATATATATGTTAGGAATCTAGTCTTAGTAGTAAAATATTTATAGTCTGATCTCATAGACTATGAGTATATTACTCATGCTAATATTCAATTTTATAGTATACTATAAAAAAGGGACTTTCTCAAACACTGAATTTCCATTAAGTTGGAATATCATTTAAGATACCAGAATAAACCCTAATCTAATAAGCAGATGAATATACTCCTAAATCTTGGAATCATTCAATAAAGTTTTGATTGCATGCCTATGTTTGTCCTGGTAGGTCCTAAACACTGGGACAAGCTGTACCCCATTGCAGATGGAAATAACCAATCTCCTATCGACATTAAAACCAGTAATACCAAACATGATACCTCTCTTAAACTTATCAGTGTCACCCACAACCCAGCCACAGCCAAAGAGATTATCAACATGGGACATTCCTTCCATATAATCTTCAAGGACAATGATAACTAATCAGGTGAGCCAAAAGACTCTTCTCATTTTTTTTTAATTTGACTCTACTGGGTAATCAAAACAGCAGGGCTTTAAGAAACACAAATGCCCATCTGCATTCTGTTGTGCTCATGTGTAATATTGCTGTAATCTGGTGAGGCATCTTGGACTTCTGGAAAACTCCCCATTGGTAAAGATGATTTTTGGAATTCCCAGCTCTTATTTTTTCAGTCCTTCTTCTCAGTGATACCATTTTTACCTCTTTTGGTCTCTAGTATCTTTACACTTGCTTCACGTGCTCTGAATAAACAGTATTTTTCCAAAAAGATCTAAGGAACCATCAAAGTGAATATAAAAACTGAAAAGGCAAATATTTTCTAATTGGGATGAGGATGAAGGGGCACAGGAGGGAAGAGTAACAGGTTGAAGAACATGTTCATTTTCGGTGCCCAGAAAATTGTTCAATAATTGTGAGGTGCTTGGGTACCTGTAAAAGCATGTCTTGCGTAAATTGGACATGGAATAATTCTGTGCATAAGGACACTTGTCTATCTTACCTGTCCCTACTAAACTGTAGAGACTGAATCATCTTCATACCCCAGAATCTGGCACATTCCTGCTACATAGTAAGATTATCATAAATGTTTATTAAATAATTTATTAAAAGACAATTCTGTAAGACAGCTTTATTAATGAAAGGCAAAACTTGCTTTAGCACTTTCCTACAAAGTTCTGAGCTGCAACTTTAGGCTCTATCTATTGTTGATATTAGATTAGGTTTGGTATTATGTGTGTTTAATCATGTGATTGGGTAGATTCTCTAAAATGACATAGATATTCAATGTAAAAATTTTTAAGTGACCCCACTGCCCCTCTGGCACTTTCTCTTGGTGCCTGGCCAGTGATTCTCCACAAATATGTGAAGATACACTGTTGTGTGTCTTGATCAGTTACAAAGTATATGATAAGAAATTTGCTACTCAGAATAAGTTACTAAAGATCTTGATGCATAAGGCCTTATACAGTCTTTGGTGAAAGAACAAATGAATAAATCTGCAAATTGAAGAAGGTTCAAGGAAAGGCCTGTAATCTTACAATTCCTCTGCCTTTCAATATGTTTTCTTAGCTGCAGAACAAGGTAAAATTACAGTTTGTGGCTGAAAATTGTATATGACCCAATGCCACAGTCAGGGGTACTCCATATGTATGAAAGCCATCATCACGGATGTGGGGGAATCTGAAATGGGAACTCTGGCATTAGTATTTGTTTTCATTTCTACTCAACCCAATTTAGTGTTGCTTTGTATTAAATGCAAAGGTAAGCTGGAGCTTATGGTCAAAAGGCTAAGAGTTGTTCCCTTTCTGTTCTAGTGCTGAAGGGCGGTCCTCTCCCTGAAAGCTATGCCTTGGTCAGTTCCATTTTCACTGGGGCAGCACAAATGACTATGGTCCTGAGCACACAGTGGATGGAGTCAAATATTCCGGAGAGGTAATATAACTCAGTGAGAGAGATCATTGCTCTGACAGTACTCCCAGAATCAGCTCCCTTATTGCATACGACCATTAGAATGGCTCCAAAGAAATGAGAATTCTGGTCCCTATAAGGAAGTCCCAGGCTCCATTAACATCAAACACAGACAGACCATGTTTGATAACTGAAGGAAATTTTTCAAATGAAAGAGGTGGCTGAACTTGGAGCTGGACTCTTGAGTCAAGAATCATCTTTCTCTTCAGAATGCCTCAAAAAATGTTACCTTGAAATCAGGCTAGCCTCAAGGGGACGTGCTGTTCTCCTTCGAAGCTCTGACCCCAAATGGATCATTTCCTTCTTATTTAAAAGTTCAAGTCTGGACATACCAGCAGCATAGGTGTGCCCAGGCCGGAGCACTTCAGTAAGACTCCCCTGAGAGTGAACATCAAATCATAATCAGCCTGCTCACAGAGCAGCATACGTCTATATGAGGGTCTCACATTGCCGGCCTGCAGCCCACCACCCTCTGGTCTCTTGAGTTGCCCTAACATGGAAGCTTGTGATCCATTTTGAGAGATTTTGTCTGTATATCCATAGAAAAAAATTGAGAATATATGCATCAAACTGTTGAAAGATGGTCTGGGAGACTGGAAGGGAAGAACTTTTGCTCTTTATGTGTATGAATGTATAATATATATGTACCTATATACTTTGACTTTTTATTTTACTTCTATAAAATGAATTTGTAATGCATATAGTTTTGCAATCTGTTTTTTTTCCTACTTACCAATTTATCATAGTCATTTTTCCAAGTCAGTAATTTAATTCTACTTTATTCTTTTAATGACTCTATAGTATTTCAATGTATGCATGTATCAGAATTTATTTAACTGGCCCCTGCTGATGATTACAATGACTTTTGCTTTTTGTTTCATTGGTTGCTTTTACCAAAAAAATGCTGCAACAAATATATCTCTATATGCGTTTTACACCCTAATGAAAACAATTATGTAGGACAGATTTTTATGAGGGATAGCTAGGTTAAAGAGCATGTGTCTTTAACTTTGATAGAGGATTTCAAACTTGTATAAAAATATCACTTGCTTTATGTTACATTGCAAAGCTTGGCTAATTACTTTAAATGGTGCAGAAATCCATTAAATGTTTTTTTTTCCTGTTTCATAAAATAGAAGGTAAACCAAAAGGAAAATGGGTTATGAGGCCAAATTGTTATTATCTTTTTAGAGGTATATTTGGTTGTATCTGAGAAATCTAAATTAGTGATCCTCTCATCTAATTTGAGAAAAATAAAAACAATCCAGGCTAGAGATGACAGACATTTAGCCCTAAAGTTCAACATAGGACAGAGGAAAGGAGAGAGGAAGGAAGGGAGAAGGAGAGATGAGATAAGCAGCATGGAGAGTGTTAATTTGACTTGAAGTAACATGATTGACTAGATGATCGCTTTACACTGGGTAGTCAGAAAAAAATTCATTCAGGAGTGAAATTTGAGTTCAGCACTAATTCAAAATAAAAGACTGCCACTGAAAGATTATGGGGAAGAAGGACATTCCAGAGAAAATTAGAAGCCAATGCAAAGACCCAAAACAAAGTTGTAAACCCAGTGAGGAGGTATGATCTGTAACACATGCTGATAAATGAATGTTGGTAAGTGGGGGAAAGTAAGAAATTAATGATAACTGCTGTACTTTTTTATTGAGCAATTAGGTGGGTGGTGATACCTTTTCTTAAGAAGGGAAAATAAAACATGTTTGGTAAGGAGGAAATCAAGAGTTCTATTTTTGCTGTGTTAAATTTGAGGCACCTATTAGACAACCATGTGGAAGATATCAAGAAGACATACATATACACTTGGATATATAAGACTAGAGTTCCACAGAGTGGTTAGGCTGGAGATAATGATTTAAGGGGTACCTAGATGAGCTCAGTTGAATCTGTCCTTGTCCAAGACTCCCAGACATTCCAGGAACCCCTTCTCATAAAGTTACTAAGATGTACCTCATGCATGGAAATTATTTCAGTCTTTGTCCTAAAACTAGTTAGTCAAAAGTCCTGATCTTTTCTAAGTGAAGAGAGATTTAAAAAAAAAAAGGAAAGAAAGAAATCGTGTTGAGTAGTTGTAATCATGTGGGACAAGAAATTTTACTTACTGGTTCCAGGATTTGAAACTTGCCCTTTCAAAACAGATAACCCTTAAGAGTGAGAACATAACCCTTCTTGCCCACTGGATAAATGTTTGCATCAGTTTTATCTGTCTAAGGCAAGACACATCTTCATATATTAACAAGTTAACTTAGAACTTCCTTCCTATCCTCACAATGGTATAAATAACTGATTAACCACATTATCATTTTTAGCTTCACATAGTTCATTGGAATTCTGCAAAGTACTCCAGCCAGACTAAAGCTGCCTCACAGCCTGATGGTTTGGTGATTATTGGTGTTTTGATGAAGGTGACTTACAGAGCTCTGCCACCACTATTCTCACCAGTCAGAGCTCAAAATAAGATGAAAACAAGTAAAAAGGTATTTTCCTCTTTCTTTCTGGGAAATTTCCATTCTACTAATGGCTACATGTGAATGAACAATTCTCTAGCACTTTCTTGCTTTGTTTTCTCTTGGCTTTTCCCTTTTGAAGAAAGAAAGAAATTTCAGGGAAGGATGGAATGAGAAGGTGGTGTCAGCAGGGAAGGAATCTCTATTTTCCAGCTTTTCCAAATTCCCTTTCTGCTAAACTTCCTACCTCAGAGATTAAGGAATTAATCAATTTAATATTTCATCAGGAAAAAAAACAACAGTGACAGGATTTTTATCACATAAAGAAAGTTCAATTGATGTTTAAAATACAGATGTTGCTTAAATTCTCTATAGGAGAATCCCTAAAAGGTTCTATAGGGAAGTCATTATTACACTGGGTAAACCTGGGTCTTTTGTGTTCTGCCCACCAAATTCTTTTGGGCAGGGTGCCCAACACATCCAACAAGCAATTTCTAGACACTCACAAGGTGTCCGGGAATTCAACTCAATTCTGACGCTATCTACCAGACACGGCATCATGTTCCACAGGTTATGGGGTCAGTCTTGCAAGATTACAAGTCCCCTCCCCTACCAAATTCTTTTGGGCAGGGTGCCCAACACATCCAACAAGCAATTTCTAGACACTCACAAGGTGTCCGGGAATTCAACTCAATTCTGACGCTATCTACCAGACACGGCATCATGTTCCACAGGTTATGGGGTCAGTCTTGCAAGATTACAAGTCCCCTCCCCTTAATGTCAGATGCCAGTTGCAAGCCAGGTTATTACTTGGGCTTCTGATCAAATGACTATAAATCAGAAGTTCCCACAACCTTGTCCTTGGGTTCCATAAATTGCTAGAGCCATTTTACTAGATCACTGCTTGACTATAAAAGAAAATAATTTAGGAACAGCCAGAAGGGAAAGACATGGGCAGTGGGCAAGGATCCATGCCCCGCCCTGGATCACTACTCTCCCAGCACCTCCAAGTGTTTACAAAACCAAAAACTCTCCAAATCCAGTCTTTTTGGGTTTTTATGGAGGTTCACTTACGCAGGCATGATTGATTAAATAATTGGCTATTGGCAATGGATTCAAACTCCAGCCCCTCTCCCCTCCCAGGAGGTTTGGGGCCTCTAATCATGGTTGGCTCTCCTGGCAACCAGCCTCATCCTGAAATCTGGCCCAAAAGTCACTACATTAACATAACAAAAGACACCTTTATTGCTCTCACCACATAGGAAATTCCAAGGACTAAGAAGCTCTGTGCCAGAAACAGGGATGAAGACCAAATAATATATTTCTTATTGTAAATTACAGTGTCACACTTGGGTGGCTAACTTTTAAAATTATAATAATTCTAGTTAACCTTCACTGAACACTTATAACATGTCATGCACTGTAGTATTTATAACTAGTAAAGTAGACCAAAAGTCAGAGGTTGCTTTTTGTATCCGGTTTTGCTAAATTCCTGGAGTTTGACTTGTATCTGTTTGAGCATCTTGCCCACATTAAATTGAAACCAACTTTTTGTCTGCCACTTGATCTGTGGCAGGAAAAATGACATAAGTAGAGCCATTTTAAGATGGAACTTGAGCCACCATTTCAGAGGAACTGCCGTGCACGTCCTGCTTTCTGAACCTTTGAACTGGGCCAAACTGCCAACATTTCAAGAAGTCAGCAAGAACGAGAAAAACCTGTTTGAGAAAACTGAAAAAAGCAAACTTTTGCCTGGTGACCACTTCACCTAAGCACTCAGTGAAGCACAGATCCAGCCCTGCTTCTGGCTTTGTGAACACCTGGAGGTGCTGGGAGAGAAGTGAGCTCTCAGCCAACATACCTTGATAGTCAACAAAGGAATTTTGTCCTTTTTTGAAACTTAGGCTCTTAAATAATCAATAAAATATCTCTTTAATTATTGTTTCTAATTATAATAACTACCATTGATTGAGCAACTACTTTATTAGGTGCTTTGCATGTTTTGTCAGCCAATTCTGACAATGAGCCAACAGAACCAACAATGGAGCCTACTGGTAACTGACACTTAACTGAGCATATGCTATATGCCAACATAGTTCTAAAAACTTTAGATGTATTCACCCATTTAACCTTCAAAACCTCCCAATGACGTAGATACTGTATGGAAATTGAGGCACCAAACAGAAAAGTCACTCACCCAAAGCACCCCTGTTGGCAAGTGAGAAAGTTGGTATGCTAATCCAGTCATCCATCCATCCTTTAAGCCAAATTCCTAGTTCAAAGAAATGAGAAGGAATTTTTGTCTTTCTCTCTTCCCATTGGTGAAACCATTGTAATCCACAACATACTTTTCTAAATATCAGTACCTTAATTTTACTGGAAATAAAATTGTGTAATCTGAATAGCCTTTGGTTCTTTAAGTATTTCCTCCTTCCTCCCAGCTGGCACAGTTCCGCAGTCTTCTGTCGAATGTTGAAGGTGATATAGCTGTGCCCATTCAGGGCACCGACCAATCACCCCAGCCTCTGAAGGGCAGAACAGTGACAGCTCCATTCTGACAGGCTCAGGAAGGAATTTATCCCCCCAAGGAACACAGCCCTGCTTCTGACATAATCCAGAGAAACAAATTTTAAGAAACAAATTTATTTCAATACTAACAAGATTGTACACCTGCAAAATGTAATCTGTGAAACCAAAAAACTTTAATTTTCATTCTTCATACTTAGCCCAACTAGCCATCTGTAAGCTCACAAAATTTGTGCTTAAATTCAAGTTTATCTTGTGGAACTTTTTATCATTACAATTAAAATTCACTGAATAAATTTCGTAGTGATTTGAATCTCTTCTTACGTCATTCTGTTTAGCTGAACCAATAAAATAATTTTATCCCTTCCTTCTTGCCTGTATTATGTCTTCTATTTTTAAAAAGAACACTGGGTTTCTACCCCTACCTACATTGAAAAATCTTAAATCCCTTATTTGCAATATTATTTTGCCTCAAGTGTAATAACCTAAGAGCAGCTTGTGATGAAATATTGAGAAATTCATTTGCTTATGTTGAAGACAAATATACAAGTAGATGACAACTGTATTGAATAGTCTTATATTGTACCAATATTGCCATTATATATATTCCCTGTGATAAAAATGATATATTTTTATATAGGAGGATGATGCTCCAGTTATTGCTTCCACTTCCTCCTTCCAAAAGCAAAGCTTATGTTAGGGTTTTCTTTTCCCATTATTGTAACTAGTTAGTTTAAATGGAGAATCTGTAATCCAAAATTGATGCAAAAGTCACCGGTGAATGGTTTATAAAAATATCTTAAGAGTTATTTGACTTAGAATCACATAGAAACATCATATAACCTTTTAGTCAGATGTACACTTGACCTGAAGTCACTTCTTTCTGAAGCCAGTTCTTTCTAAAGCCATCTCTACATCCACAATTCTACAAATCTGTGTCTAGTGTTTAGTGTTGTGATTTACTTTTGTTCTCTTTTCTGAGAAATCGTATTAGAGACCAAAACCCACGCCCATTCCAAAGTTTTAGTCTTGTGTAATGTCACAGAATCAACCAAAACCTCTAAATAACTGGGGTTAAAAAGGACAGACCAAGCAGATTCTTCATGGCTCCTTTGTATGAAGGCTGTGTTTGTGTTGTACCTAAAATCATACTAAGTGACTTCTTTTGAAATTTTTGATTTGGGGCCCAGAATTTAAGGAATTCTCTTTATTAAAATTTAATGGACCCAAATAACACTTTAGCTCTCTGTTCTCATAAGCATTCTATAAATACAAAATACTTTCTTTGCAAAAGTAATCCGTGTATATTACTGTATATTTGCCAGATATTGAGAAAGCCTGAAATAGTTACACCTGTTCTATGATCCTCTTATTTCACATGAGTCACATTGATAGGATTTTAATTCTAAAGTTATCAAAGGTCATCATGAGAGCCAAAGAAAGAAGGGTGTGAGTTTAATTTGAGAAATACGTCTGCAAAAGATGCTCAGAACCCTCAATATTTGAAAATATTTTCTGAAAAGAAATTGAGCAATTTAAAAACTAAATTTTATAGCAAGGACCAGAAAAATATTTAACTTGATGACCCACATATTCTCAAGAAGGTTTAATGGATTCTAGGACTTAAATATAAGTCTATAAGTCTTAGTATGGAAAGGACAAAGAAGAGACAGAAGATATATGATGACTATCAACCTTTATCCCTAAGCTGAATGCCAACTAGGGAGCATGTTTCCTCTTATTGCTTCTGCCAGAATTTCACTTATTTGGCAGAACTCACAAGGTGCATTATGGGTGCTTTCCACATTTCTCTGAAGTAGCCGATAAAAGCAGCTGCTGAGAAAAGACACGTGGACAAGGCAGTGGATCATCTGCAAATGCAACTCGTATGTTTCTTTGATTCGCCCTCCTGCTGTGTGCTCTCTTCCCTTGCCAACTTAGGTAGAGGATTTGAACATCCTGCAAGGATTCCCTGGTTTTTCCGTGATGTTTGGCAGTTGATCCTCTTTATGACAAATCTACTGGGCTTCTAACCAGGCAGAATGGCAATGCCAACCAAGGGGCCCTGCATAGGCTCAAGGGTAGATCCTTCACATATTAAATTAGTAAATATTTTTAAAAGAATACACAGTGTTGCCAATGACAAAAAGAAATATCTGTCACAGCACATTACTGGAGAAAACACAAAGTTCCACAGTCTGTTCACACATAGTATAGAAGTGGTGTTCCAGAACAAGTCTTATTATCAAATATCATGTAATGAAAACTATAGGTTTCAGGGCTGGAGAGAAGAGTTAAGTGGTAGAATTTTAGACTTGCTATAATGTGACTAACATCTATTACCCCGGTTCCAAAAGCTGTTTTAATTCTATTTATTTACATTTATGATCTCCAAAGTTATATTTTAACCTGAGATCAAGTTTCGAAAACCCTCAACCAATTGCCTGTTCAATGTCTCTGCTGAGATATTACAAGAACATCCCAAACTATTCAAAGCACAGCTCTTGACACCCTTCCAATCCCGGCTCCCACAGCCCCAGCACGCACACAGATACCAAGGCAGGAGAGGCTGCTTGTAGGCCAAGGGCTGCCTAGCAGGATGGAGCTGCTAACACATGGCCCTGTCTGCCTGATGCCATGACGGAGCTTGATGTGACTCTTTTGGTTCTAATTTTTAAAATATAACCTTCCCATTATTACTGCAACCCTCTTTGTCACCAAAAGCAAAGTGTCCTCAGACCAAACTCAACTTCCCGTTTAGTAGCTACTTTCTGCATATTTCTTTTACAGAAATGGTGATACTTGCCATGTAAAGAAACATGCTTTTCTAGTCCCAGTTCCAGATTCCTACAAAAAGGACTCCAGTTTGCCCAGCATGGATGGAGCCCAGCCATGGTTCTATGAACTCTGGCTGGGCACTGGTGGGGATCCCATTTAATTCAGGGACAGACTGGCTCTGGGAGCAGATGCAGTTCAGAGGGTCATTGTGAGTCAAAAGGAAACCCCAAAGTGAGATACCATTTTCTTCAAGGCAGGAGGAATAAATGAACAAAAAATTTGGACAGGTAGTAAAGTCAGTGAATCTCTGTAAAGTTTAGAACTGGCCTTGTTTGAGAACATTATCTCCCACTCTGAATCTGAATATTCCCTAAAATACGTAATGGCAGAACCCTAACATATCAATTAGGCAACACAAATAACAACTTCCTTCTATACGCGGTATGAATTGAATAGCAGCTCAAGAAATGATTTTTATTTTGTTAAGTACTAGAGCTAATCATTAAGCCAAGTCCAGAAAAAACTAAGTGGTTATGCTTTTCAGAAAACTAATTCAAAGGGAAATCTAAGTTCTCAAGTGGAACATTGATTAAACAGGGACATTTCATTAGTTTCATGGAAATTAGGAACCCAGAAAGTTCTGCAGCTTAAATAACAGGAAAAGGAAAAGGAATTGAAGTCCCTGGTGACATTTATCACTTTCTTAGATGCCAAGACTCAACGAAAGCCAAAGAGAGAAAAGATATCTGGAGAGATTTCAGAACCCAGGAGTCTCTTAAGTACTTTTTCCCCTTTCTAAAACTGGAAAAACAATGTATTCTTTTTGTTGTATTTTTGTACACCTGGAAGTGCAAGAATGGTGTATAAACTTTAAATTCTTCATTCCAATAGGACTACACTGAAGTAGAGGTTAGTGAGGACTCAATTCCAAACACCACAGCCAAGTCACGCCTTAAGTGCTCAGACAATGGTATCAATTGTCATTAAAAATCTGGCAAAGCGATAGTTCCACCAATAAGTTGGCTCTGTTTCTTCATTTTTTTGCTGTACATCTCATGCTTTTTTTCTTGTAGTATTTTTTCCCTTTGTTTCACTGTGCAAGCAAACAGAAACAGAAACACATTCATCTCCTCCTGAACTCTAGTCCCTATTTCAGGTCTTTAATTATTTTACAGTGATTTACTGACATGGTTTTCAAACCTTTCCCCTGCTTAAGCCCTGAGGTCTTGGCTAACATTTCACTTCTGCAAGGTGGTCTCCCCTAACCAGAGTTGGCAGTCCCCCCATTGTAGGCTCTTATGACACCCTGTACTTCTTGACAGTACTCAGTAGAGTTACAATTTACATAATTATTTATCTAGTGTTGGTTACCTTGCTAGGCTGTAAACTAAGAGATCGGTGACAGTGTCTGTTGGCTTCCTCTCCACATTTCCAGTAATTAGCACAATGTCTGATAATTGAGTACTCAATTGACTTCTGATAAATGAAAATAAGACTTCCTGGGCAGTAATCTATAATCTACAAAGTGACTCCCAGACCTAGAGAATATTAAGCATCTGTGGAGGTTTTGTTTTGTTTTCAAGTATAAATTTCTAAGTCACCTGATATTCTCACTATAGATCTGGGGTGATTCAATATTTTTCTCCAAGACCCCCCAAGTGACTATGATCACATGCAATGGTTGTGAAGCAGTATCTAGCTAGCTAGCAAGCCAGCTGGCTGGATTATGGCTCCCTATTTTCTTCCAAAATACTTGCAAGTTCCTAAAGCTCATATGTCCCCAGTCTACCTTGGCCTCACAAGACATAGCTCTCTCTTACTTGCTCTTTGTACATTACGTTTCAGTCTGATAAACTTGACAGTCTCAGGACACACCTCGCTCCCGTGCCTGTGCTCATGCTCTTCCTTTTTCCAGTAGTTTAGTGACTTCTGCTGTTTAAGTCTACCCAGACTTTCAGATTGATTTCAAATGTCACCCCTCTAGAAAGCCCCCTAAGTTCCCACAGCTGGATGAAAGCCTCTCCAACAGAACTTTCCATAAGCATCTCTCTGACTTCTTTTTTTTTGGTCTTGTTTCACATTTCCTGTACACTTCACTTGTCTCTTCTTTTAGACTGTAAACACTGCAAAAAGAACAAAAGCAGGAAGGTAATGATTCATCTTATCACTCATTTTGTATCTCCCAAAGAAATCAAAAAGAACACATAAAGAGGTCTTAATATATCTGACTTAACATAGATGTGGTTATTCTGGC